TCATTGTTGTTATAATTTCAAATTAAAGAATGGTAAAATGAAAACCTTAATATTCGACATATGATCATTGTCAATTAACTGTTCAACCTTTTCAAGGTCACGGCTTGAGCTATGCAATAGACGTTTAATTTTTGATAATTCATCACGTTTGGAGGTCAAAAAACGCAATTCACGATTTGCTAATTGTTCCGTCTGCAATGAATGGCATTTCGGAAAGGAAATATACAATAAGTGTGCATTAATTTCAAATTCATTTTCAAGTGTACGGTTTAATTACTAATTAGTGGACGTAAAAAAAAGCAACGAAAATGGAAATTCGAAAGCAAAAAAGAAAAAAAATGAATTTATTTTGAATTTATGGATTTATTGCATAATTTACCTGTTAATTTAACAAAAAATTCGCTCAATTTTTCACATCCAATCATTACTTTAAATGTAATTGGGATGAATAATTAAGGATTGTATCAAAAATTTCAACTCAGAAATTAAATATTAAATGCATTATATTTCATTTAGTATAAATCAGGAAAATCATAAACTAGACAAAATAAAAATTAAAAGAAGGAAACAAACCGGATATGTTAGATACTGCAGGTATCACATGACACTCAAAATGTTAGTAATTAAATATGATCAAAACTTCAGTAATTGAAAGAAAAAATAAAACATGAATTTAAACGATATATTTAAATGTACTGATTTTGGAAATTTATAATGATATAGTCTAAAAAAAAAAATTAAGAAATATATCACATACAGCACGAATTGTCCTTTGTTGAGAATTAAAAATAGCCCGAAGTGGTTGTACAATATCATCAGTTATAGCTGAGCCAAGATTGCTAGTGAAAAAAAAAAATTCATTTGAAATTTTTAATAAATATGCAAATTATTCACTTTAAGATCGATATTCTAATCATTTCTTTATCATGTTCTTATTCTAATTCAAATAATTAAAAACAAAAAATTCAATTTGAAATTTGCCCTTTTTTTGTTTTTCTTAGTAAATAGAAATTAAAAAAAAGAAATAATTTGTTCACAAAATTAATATCAAATAACACAATATAAGTTTAATGATACATTCATTAGATTATTTTATTCAAATAATTTCATACTATAATAAAAATCAATCTATAATTTCAATTTACTTGTGTATACTAGCTTGAGCATCGAATTGGTCAGCAATATAACTCCATGCACGATCAATAATCCTGCAAATAAAAGAAAAAAAAATTACTTCATTTATCGATTTATTTATATAACAAATCAATAATTGCATACATCCAATACAATCTATTATTTTGAATTTATCAAAGTGATATAATCATTGAGAACAATGACTTCCTAGAATGATAAATATCCGGATGGATTATTTGGTCATTCAATAAAGATTGATTTAAAAGAAATTATGGCTATTACATTTTAATAAAATACTACAGTAAATTTATTCGTATTTAACATCTAATTATACAATTGATAAATTTTTTGATAAATTTTTGGGCTATTTTTGATATTTTGATAGTTTAATGGATGAATAAGGTATACAATCATTTACCAATAATTTTATTTAAATAAAATTAAATTATTATAAAATTCGAATTTAAATTTCTAAAATTTAGTTAAAATTTGCTAAATTGAAATTTTTGATGCATACATTTAAAAAACTTTGTAAATTTAAAAGATTTTTGTGAAAACAAAACTTTGAAGTACAACAGAATGCTAAGACTAATTAAAAATCCGAAAGTTAAATCAATTACTTAATTACATATATGGATGTATATATACAAAATCAACTACTTAATTACATGCATATATATATATATATATATATATATATAATATCAAATCAATTACATAAATTTATATATATAAACATATGCGTCCCTATTATTTGTAACATTTCTAATGAATATTTGTCACATTCATTAACACATTTTCATGGGACAGTAAACTTCTAATTGATATTACAATGTTACCATTTTACAGCAAATGATTGCTGGCTATATCATTAGTTCCGACTAATTACTATCGATTTAAAATTTAATTAAAAAGTGTGAAATTTAAAATTTGTGACATTTATTATGAATAAACTACATTTTAGTAATGCACAAATAACGCACTGTATATGTGTATGTATGCACGATATATTCTTAGTATCATTATATTCGAGTAAATAAGTAAATAAGTACATGTTACCAAGTTAATGCAAAATGAATATGCAAAAATTACAGGTAATTAGGAGAATAATTTGGACAAAGTGTGAAATTTCAAAATAAATAAATAAGTCAAAGATGAATGAAATGTATTTGGGTAAGTCAAATAAATATATAAATATTTGAAATGAATTAATAAATGAAATTAAGTAATAATAACAACTAACTGAAAACTGATATATGCAAAACTGATATAATTAACATAATTAATATAAATATTATTCAATAAAACTGATATAATTAATCAATATAACTGATATAACTAATTGATATAACTGGAAAACTGATATAACTAACTTGATATATGCAAGGGAATAATTTAATACATAAATTTTTTCATTTCGATATATATATTATATATCAAAAATAGATTCAAATAAAATTAACACAATGAATTTTTTTTTTATTTCAACTAATTTATATAAGTTAAATTGTCGATATATTTAAAAAATTATGAGAAACAAAGTTAAAGTAAATTAAATATAGCACAAAAAAAAAAACTGTTTGCAAAAAAATTTGAATAAAAAAATTACCCAGGTGATTTTGCTGAAACTTTGTGCAATCTTGATGATAATTTTTGCATTGCCTTTGAATATGCAAAATCCAATGAAGCTCTATAATACAAATTAAAAGGAAGAGAGGGAAAAGAAACAAAAAAAGTGAATTTGGAAATTTTCTTTTTTTAAAATAATTATTAATAGTTTTTATTCCATAAAATTTTTAGAAATTAAATTAATGCGACAATCTAACATTTTAAAAAGAAAAAAAAGAACCTTTCGTCAAAAATTGAAATAATTTCTCGTAATATCTCATTATTTGTATGAACAAGTTGGCGCAATTGTGGAAATGCTGTTGGTGTCTAAAAATGAAATTTTTTCAATTTAAAGAGAAATTATCGAAACAAAAAAGAAAAAAACTCGTATATTTCTTAATTTCAAATATTTATTATCAATTTCCTATTTGCATGCGATAAGTTAATTAATTTCAGTAGAATTGATTTATGCAATTTTTTAATGAACATACAAATATACATGTGTTTAATTGATTGACAATAATTAAATTTAATTATTTTATCAATTTTAATGATGTCTATTTATTTGTATATTTGCATATAATTTATCAATTAACATACTAATTTATCCTTAATCTACTGATTTAAATTTTAATAATTTTAACTATATCGATCAATAAAAAATTCTGTTCAATGTTCATTGCGCCAAAATTGCTTCATCGTTTATTCGATGAATTAATTAACTTAAGTTAATTTAACTTATGATTCGTACATTTAACCTTGGTAATCAAATTTTTTAATTTTTTTCTCTTTTCTCCTCCCTTCGACTTTCCAATCTTTTTTCTTTTAATTTCAAAATATAATTTTTGTTAAATTTTAGTGAAATTTAAATAAATATACTTGAAATTTTGATGTTTTATACATTCTTTCATATCTTCAATAATCTTATCCAAAATATCATTAAAGATGAAAAATACTCGAAAAAAAACTCCGAAAAAATTCATACCTAATGATTCATCATATTATTATACATTCAACTGTTTATTAGTTATGTCTATAGAATTACCAGCATAAAAAAACCGGATTAGTGATGACAAACCGGATCAGGATGATTAATTTAACAATTTAACGATTAAATTATGAACATTATTAGAAAATTCCTCAAAGAGATTAACAATCGATTATAACCGGTATGTTGTCTATCATATATTACTATCATCAGAATATCTTATACGAAATTAATGATAATAATAATAATAATAATAATAATTAATAATAATAATGATAATGACAATGATAATAATGATAATGATAACAATAATAATATTAATAATAATATCAATTAATAATAATAATAATAATAATAATAATAATAATAATAATAATAATAATAATAATAATAATAATAATAATAATAATAATAATAATAACAACTAGTAATAATAATAATATTAGTATTAATAGGACAGTAATAATAAAACATTTATTGCTATTGTTATTATTAACATTAATATCAGTATAATATGATATATTAATAA